CAGAAGTCGAGCCACATCAGATGCGCTTGAGAAACTATTATCGATCCAAGCTCAACAATTAACAGCCATAGGTGAAGCATGGCGAGCCAAGTTTTCATTAAACAGATTAACTACTTGTCATGAATCCAACTTGAATGAACCGTATGATACTCAGATCAATGGACTTTCAAAATCTCAAAGATCTTTACGGTTGGCTAGTACTCGCAGTCATGGGTCTAGTGTTTCAAAGAATGAAAAGGAAAAAAGTTGGAATGATGGTACTAGATGTTCAGTAGATTCACTTTCGAATCATGCATCGATGTTTGAAGAAACGAATGATGTTCAACTTGATGTAAAAGAAGAAGAAGAAGATCGATTAGAAACTCGTCATCAAGACTTCACACTTCTTACTGAAGCGGTTCTTCATGAATTTCTTCATTCTACTCATCACTCTATTATCGATCATAAAACTTTGGTCTTGGATTGGTTAAACCATTCTAACTTTAATGATTCAGACAACTTTAATGGATTCCAAACTGATGAGCTTTAAATCCCTCTTGTTTTCTTTATTCTCTTCTTCATCTTTCTTGTTCTCTGTAACTCTTGTATCCTTCTTTCACTACCGCAGTGTTTCTTTTTTTCTTTCCTTAAGCATTTTTCTTATTCTTTCTTTCTATTTTCTTGTCTCCTTTTCTCCTTTTCTCCTTCTCCTTGTCTTTCTCATTATCTTATACTCGATTTGTTTAGTCAAAAATTCTAACTTGTAAAACCAACACTCTTTTGTATCAACTGCATTTTTGCTTTCCATAAATTCTCTCATCTTTGTATCACCTTTTTCTCAGTACTTTTTATTTTGAAATTCACGCTAAATCTGTTTCTGAAGTAAAAGCATGTTGTAAGAAATTCATTGCTGTTTTTGAACTACAGCCTTGCAGTTTAGAGTGTTTTATTCAAAAAACATCAATTCTGGTGTCTGAAATCCAAGCTCTAAACCAATTTCCCTGTCTGCAAAATCATTCAGTTGATGGGATATGCATGGTAATCCTATGCAAACCCATCGGCATAACTTCCTTCAAAAACGTAAACCCTTCTTGACCAAAGTAAAGTATAAATTCGGGGAATGAAATCCAATTGAAACCTTCACCATTTTATAAAACTTTGTACTCTCACTTGAAAAATAAATTGATAAAAATGATCATCACGATCAGTAATGTTAAAAATGGTTTTCTTTCAAAGAAAAAGAAATCATCATTATACGAATTCGATCTTTATATAAATAGTTTTTAAAAAAGAATAAGCTACAGACCAAACAAATTGAAACCAAGGAAAAAAAGTATCCAAGAAATCTATGTCTACATATTTCGAAAAGAAAAGAAAAGAAAAAACCTAAATCAAAAAGAAAAAAATTGAATTTAGAGAAACGGATTATAATAAATATGCAAGATAAATAAATGAATGAAAGTCGAAATTTTGAAAAAAGAGTTTTTGCTAAGAAGAAAGATTGTTAGGTTTTTTGCTAATTCGAGAAAAGAAATGAAGAAGAAAAACTAGAAAGAAAGACTCGTATAACAGATAAATTCAAAAACAGAACGTCATGATACATTAATTTAAAGATAGGTTTTGGTGGGAAAATGTAAACTGAAGGTTTGTGATGAAACGTCTGTATCAAAGAAAAAAAACCAAAAAAAACAAAAAAACCACATGTCTTGTGTGGTAGTTGTTATCAAACCAATTCTTCAGGGATGATAATCTGCAACAACCCGTTCAATCCATCTAACCACAAATCCAATTTCAAACAAATCAAACCGATGATCAAGTTTCGAAAATCTTTGAAACCGAGATGATTTAAAAAACTTCAAGTTTTCTAAAGACTCAAACCCATTCTGAGCCTTTGAAATTGGAAAATACGGATCGCTTTCACCGTGTAACCAGTATAGAGAACTTATTCCTGTTCGGTTTGGTGAGATCATTTGAGGAAGCTGGGTTGGAAGAGGTAAGAAACCTGACTGTGAACGAAACTTTCGGGTTAATATGACATTCGATAAAAGTCTTGTTGAAATGATTACTTACAAGCATGATCACTCCGGCTGGTGGTCGTTCTACGTTAAGGCTCAGTAAGAGGGACATCACTGCGCCTGTATTGGCGAGTAAAGCAAGGAGAAATCAAGATCCATCAGTTCTCACTTACCCCTGCGATGATCCTGAAAGAATCCAT